ATGCAAACTCCACACAGATTGCACCTCAGGGCCAGAATTGAACCCAGGACCCTCAGCTCTGCAGCAATGGAGACCACTGCACCGCTGTGCCACCTACAATTTGAAACCACTGATTTGAATTCTATTTTTATGGAGACGTCTGTTGTATTTTATTTCTTCTCTAGATATAAACAGAGCCAGTGTAATGTACAACATACAGAATGATAATAAAGACATGCCATTTCTTTTGTCGTGCACCTCCTATTTTTGTCATGAAAAGAAAGACAGTTTCATCAATACACACAGCCATGAAAGAGACATCTGGAAAGCAGATTAGCCTACTGTGGCACGAATTTAGCCTGCACTACGGACAAACGTATCCCTTTTCTGATAGTTATTTGTGTTTGTAAGCACTACAAGAATGTTTAAACAGGGAGAGATTAAAATGCTTGTAAGACTTAATAAAAAAATAAAAAATAGGGAAGGCAATCAAACAAGCTATAGCTAAGATGTAGTAAGGGAGCATAGTACAGCTCTTCACAATTAGGTTGAGAGATTATTTTGTTGATGTAAGATTTACCAGATTGATCACTAGAGACTTGATTTGTATGAACTTCAGCAAAATGCTCTTTAGAATGAGCATAAGCATATATCCCAGATGCCACCAAGCCCAGAAAGCTTATAATTAGATATTGTATTTCAAACTACTTTGGTGATATGGGAGGTCACAGCTCTTTTCAATGGAAGAAATAACTTTACAATTTAATAAAACCCATGCAACATATATTTGTAAGGGGTACATGAGATAATATAAAACTTACCCTATACACTAAAACATTTATCTTTATCCATCTTTAAATTCTGAAATGTAAACATGAAAAAAATGAACAAGGAAAACTAGGATATATATTTTATGGAATCATTCAAAAATAACTTACGCCAGAGTTGATAATAACAATATACAGTACAGTATACTCTAGTTCAGTATGTTTCTGTGCTTCAGTCCTTGGACCTTAATTAGGAGAAGAAAAGCATTTTCTGCTTTCTAGGTTTAATATTTTTATAAACATTTCATTTAGTGCCTGCTCTTGAACATACATATTTGTAGCAACAGAAATAAATGTCTGTTCCAAAGGTAAGAAAAGGCATTTCTTTTAGTGCACATAGTTACTTTTTATACAGTTAGCTCTGAATACAAGACAAATTCCTAGCTGTAACTAATTACAATTTAGTGACTGGATGTACCATAAAACAGGATTTTCCTTTAATTCCCCTATCTATCCTGTTTAAGCTTCTTTCTCATTTATATCAAGTGTACTGCATGTCAACATCTGAACACTAGCTAAGCAAATGACAATACTTTTAAGACAGATTACATTAAATCAAATTCACTTGTGTACCACCTTTAAGAAAAAAAATATCTCATGCACAGAGATAGTGTGACTTTTAAGTAGTCACTGCTAAAGCCTGAAAATACACTCAAACACTTTTCTACCTCTTTACATCATGTTAATTATACTTCTTATTTAACTTAGTACAACTTCAGGAAATCCTTTCATGTATTGTTAAATGATAAAAGTACACAAACAAATGCAGTTTTCCAGAGGTACTGTGTCAGAAAATATTTGCTTTCAATATTTGATTTGGCTTAGTTGGTTTGAGGTTAAATGTTGAATGGATGCTAGGAATGAATGATAGTAAATATGATTTGGCTTTGCTTGTTATCTACTCTAAAACAGCCCATCGTGTACATTTTGAATACTTGTTATTCTGTGTTTGCTGGTATCTGATATATTTGGCTTTTGTACTCGAACTTTGACAAACTCTCCACATACACTTCTTTTACCTAACTCTGTTTTTCATATCAATCTTTCACCACAACCATCACTGTACTGTATATAGAGTTAATCTGGTTAGGGCCAAACCATTTTGTTACTCACTGCTACTACAACTTGCTACCCAGCAGCCATATCACTCTGTAACTCACAACTGACAACCCACTGAAGCTCAGCAGGTGTGAGCCTGGTCAGTACCTGGATGGGAGACCTCCTGGGAAAGATAAGGTTGCTGCTGGTTGGTGTTAGTGCGGCCTTTAAAGTCCATGTGGGTCCTAATGCCCCAGTATAGTGACGAGGACAATATACTGTAAACAGGCGCCATGCTTCGGATGAGACGTAAAACTGAGGTCCTGACTCTCTGTGGTCATTAAAAATCCCAGGACATTTCTCGAAAAGAGTAGGTGTAACCAATGCATCCATTGGTCCCATTGGTCCTTGTCAATCATGACCTCCTAATAATCCCCATCAATTAATTGGCTTCATTACTCTGCTCTCCTCCCCACTGATAGCTGATGAGTGATGAGCGTTCTGGTGCACCAGGTGGATGCTGCACATTTGTGGTGGTGGAGGGGAGTCCCCATTACCTGTAAAGCGCTTTTGAGTGTCCAGAAAAGTGCTATATGTGTTAGCAATTATTATTATTAATTACTACTATTTTATCTGTTGATGCCAGAACTTGTTCTAATGTGTACATAAACTGAGTTTCTAATGAAAAACTCTTCATAGTAATAACTTTAAAGTAAAAAGGATATAAGCAGTGATAGAAATCTTTCTATGGATGTATACATACAGTATATACTGTATATTTTACCTCAATTATCTACTGTAAGTGTTTGCTTTTGTCTGATAAATAATTTTATTTCTCCAAAACTTATATTAGGAACCTAAAATTGAATTGTCCTTGTAAATTACTGGATATAAAATATTTAACTGCAGAACGGCAAGAGTAATGGATACCTTCTTTTTCTCAGGTTCACCCATTAACACACTAATTATAATTATCTTCCAAGACTACAACATTTAATGACAATAACAGAGCAGGTTAAAACAAAGGTAGCACAGAATTACAAGAGACTGCAGGCTTGCAAGCAACTTTGTTTTGCACAAATGTATATTACTTTACATGTCATTTAGAAAAAAGATGAAAATATTAAAGATCTAATGACATTTGTACTGGGCAAATAGAATGTTAATGCATTCATTAAAAAGACTTGCTGCTCAGCATGTATATGGAACATATTATCCACTATACTACTTCAAAATTAAATTTTACAAGATTCTAATGACCATATCCATCTTGCTTGTGGACTTGTAATAGGAGTACAAAGCCACTATAATGTTATGATGGTTATTACAGTATATACCACATCAGGAATTATTCTCACAGTAATGAAGGAATCCACTCTTGGGGAAAACAAAAACACCAACATTTCATGATGTACAGTTTCTCGAGGCTGTTGACAAAGCCAGAACTAGGAACCCAATAATTAAGTATAATTTAAAAAAAAAACATTTGGGTATTTTAATTAATTCTGAGGAAAGTCAATGCAGTTCCAAAGAGGGAAAAAAATCAATAGCAGTGAGACACATCAGTAATGTAAAAGCTATGTCAAGTGGGATGCACCAAGTTACAGGAAGAACTGAATAGAAGTGAAGTGACCTTGTAATGTTTTTGCCTTGTGAGAAAGGAGGAACAAAGCAACAAACGCTTTTTATTTTGCTTTAAACACTTTCTGCTCAGTCATTCAGAGGAATGAAATAAAAACAGCTGCCAAGTGTTATAAACGGATAACTTGTAGCTTTTGTCCTATAGGATTAGATACTTTCTCTTGTTCAGTTTTTGAAGAATAAAGGTTCTTGATTTGATTTCAGCAGAAATCAGCAAGGACATAACATCAATTATATGTAATTATACTGTAGCTTCACAACTGGATTGAATTTGTTTAATATTTTAGGTTAAAATGACCTTCACCATCTCCTTACATTATTCTAGAATGTTCAACTTTACATCAACAGCTCTAACACAATACCAGTAAAAGCAGAGAAAACTATACTCATGTACAGTGATAATAGCAAAAGATGGAACACCACCAAAAACTAACCAGCCATTGGCCCATATGTCATATGACATCTCTCTCTTTAATGATTCGTTGGGCTTAGGAAGCGAAGAAAGTCCTGTTACAAACCATAATTGCAATAAAAGCTAGCATACAGACATCCGTAAAAAACACTTTTGTTTCAAGCACAAGGATTTGAAATATGTGAATAATTTAAAGAAAATATCAATCTGGTTAGGAAATTATAGTGACTCATCTTGTAAATGCCTCTGTTTAGAGTGTTAGGTAAATCTCTTCACCTACTGTACAGATTGTCCATTCCATTCAGAAGTGACTTTTTTTTCTCCTGACGGCACACAAATTGTTGAGTGTTGCTGAGTAAAGTCACAGGGAGAATCTTAGTTTACTAAGGCTGGCACCTCTTGTCACTGGCTGCATGTTTGGAGTCTTCATTTATCACTGCGTCTCTGCAACAGAGCTCTTTCAATATTTGAAGATATTTTGGTGACATGATTGACTAGAAAACTGAGTAGTGTTTAATTTGCCTGCAGTGGGGGCTAGACTTTTGGCATAGCCAATGTCGCTGCTGTTTGGAGGAGGCACTACAGTATGTCTGATAGTAAATGACAGTAAATATCAAAACTTCGGAAAACATCTAAAACTTTTAGTATACCCAGCTATTGATCCCTGATTACAGCATGAAGTAAAAGATCATTGTCCACTGCATTTCACTCTTGGGGTTACAAAACAGATAAATAATATTATTGCAAACATTAATTTTTGTGTATTTAATAAAATGTAATGGCATTATAATAATCTAACTTTATAAGTTCGGTATTTGGTGATGGCTTGTTAATATCCATTAATACTTCAAAAAGTGACAGCTCCACTAAACATTCCACCAATGACTTACAATATAAAATGTGATTCTTTAAGTTCAGGCTTGCTTTGGCTTAATATAAAGGTAATAGTAGAATTTAAACCTTTAGGTAACATATTCGTGAGCACACAGTAGAAATTTGGACTACTGTTACTGTAGTTACAAAAGATTTTCACAGCTTACTTCAATAGTCACATTCAAACTGTTAGAAATTCTCTCTTCACCCACAGTCGAGTGTGCACTTACATTTTTGAATCCCCTGTAGAGGATCTGTAGCTCCTTCTTTGTGAATTTGGTTTGTGCCTCCAGTTGTTCCAGTCCTTCAGGACGATGACGGACTGTGGCCAATTCCAGTTCATCTTCAACGCTGTCTGTAACACATGAGGCACAACATGAGAGGAAAGCCAAACATACAGAATACATTGAGATATACCAGTAATATGGGGAGTTACTGAATAGAATTAAGATACCATAATAGTAAAAAAAAGTGTCTGGTACTCTTAAGCTTTAGTATTGTTGTGCCGAACAAAATGACAGCAATTCTGGTGTAGCAGAGGTCTTCTTTATTACATACTGTATGCTTATGGGAGCCCAGCTCTTGCTAGCCAAAGAAAAACAGCAAAAAGGTGATCTTTTATACAGTGTAATCAAAACACGTTAAAACAAGTCTCTGTTGTTGTTTTGATTTAGACTATTTGCCACCAGGACCTGCTCAAAGCTCAACTGATAAAAGTGTTAACTTTGAAAGCAGGCCGAGATCTATGGAACAGATATTATGAGAATAGTTGGCCAGTCCAACTAATTGTACTCTCAACTCTTGGAGAACCAGCAGTTCTTGTGATTTTTGGCTCCTCACTGCTTGTAGTGACCTTAGTGCAAGTTCTGCTTATTCATCAATAGTTCCTAATATTGTGAAGCTTGCAGCATGTCAAAAGATACAGTAAATTACTCTTAAGGTGGGCATTAGTGGTACAATAAATTGCATACTGTTGTAAAAGATCCTTTCAATATTTTATTTTGTAAATGCAGAAACTATATCTTATTTTATATATGATATTGACAGATCAATTAATGGATTTGGAGCCAGCTATTTGCAATAGAAATTAAATTCTAAACAAGTTTACACAGACTTATTTAATAATATATTATTTTGTAGTGCCTAACTGAATGTCTGAAGATCTGGGCCTGGATAACATCAAACTGTTTTCATTGGCATCGATAGTTGCTCATCATCAAACACTAGCTTTACCAGTTTTAATTCTGAAAGTGGGTAGAACACTAAGTTAAATATACTGTAGGCCCTAGTAAAAGTGATTTAAACTTTCTTTCACAAATATCTGCGGAAGTCAGTCTCTTCACATGGTCTCACCTAAGGGCACCTACTGTAGCTTGAGCAGAATTTTGGAGGGACATTTTTACTTGTTTTACTTTTTCCGCCTAACTGTACAAGAGAATATGATGATGTTTAGCTATAAATTAAATCACAAATAGATTAATTTAACAGAAAACCACGATTGCATATGCAACCTGTCCTTTCTTTTAAATTCAAAGAAAACAGCTGTTGTATAGTATACCGGCATATTGATGGGAAGCCCAGAGTTAGTACCACTGAGGGGTGGTAGGTGGTGGGAAGAGATTTTGTGCATTGAAGGGAATGTGTTTTTCATGCAGTTAATGTTTCTTCATTATATTTAAGTTCTGAAGCATTTAAAGTAAATAAAAGAATGTTCACAGAAAAACAAAAAAACTTCATGTTTCAACAACACTTCAATCCAAATGTTGAATCCCATGTTCCAGGGCTGTATTGTGCTTTGTATTTTATTTTGTTTGTTACATACTGTATGCAAACATCATGTATAAGTACACAACATACATGAATAGAGGGACTTCAGACTAAGACAAACACATGAGGATGGCTTGAGGTACAGTATAATGGAGGAGTGAATGATATTAACCTCTGTAGAATGGATTCCACGATACCTTCTTGATCCTTAAGGAAGGATCTGGGGTTGCAAATGTGTTTAAAGGGATTTCATTATGTTACTATAAAATATTTCTTCGTAAGGTTTTATTTTATCTGGACAGTAATAACAATGTCTCCTGATTTGAATAGGCATAAAGATTAATTATAAATTAAAAAAAAACTCTAAACAGATATACATGGATTACAAATAATTTATTTGGTATTTATTGTACGTTTGGTAGTTCATATGTACTGCACTGGGAAGATCTTTGGTTCCTGTTGCTGTGACATTACTTCATAACATGAAGAAAACAGAGCAGTCCATTTCCTTTTAAGGGCCTGAGCAGGCTGATGCCAATTTATCTGGGTCAGAGATCTGAATCTTTTGTGTCCATGCCTTGCTTGATGTACAACAAAATATTACATCTTTTCAGTTTCATTTCACAGCAGCTGCTTGTGAAACAGCATGTCATTGATGCTCTTGAAATTTCCAGGCTGCCTATCTGAGGGCAGTAGCTGGATTCCCTAACTTAATGTCTTAGGGGTTTTAAAGGACAATATTCATCAATATCTATCAAAATAGCTTTCTTATACTATACTGTACACTTTTTTAAAAAGTAAATTGTTCCATTAGAGAACTATGATGGAATTAAATGGCACTATGATAAAGACAATCTGGAGATCTTTGGGATAGTTACAGAAAACTGCACTGTTTTAACAATTTATATTTGAAATTCAATGATTAGCCTCCACAAACCTATTCATGAGTTTGTAATGATGGTAACATTTTTCACCATAGTCATGCCTCAGGTTTGCTGTGCTCCCAGGCAGACTTCAACGTTCTACTTTTAAACACCTACAGTTGTAATGCTTTAAATGATTAATTTAATCGGTGGTTACACTTTGGATTTCATGTGTTTACATTCTTGAAATGCACAAAACATCCATCCATCAACAGAAAGTCATATTTTCTGGTGACGGACGCACAAAGCTAGAGAATATCCTACTAATGCAGGGAGCACAGTGAGGTAGATTATTCATAATATAATTAGTCTTTTACCTATGAGAAAGACTTGTGTTTTTGTTGAATTTTTCCTCCTTTAGACAATGTGACTAAGCAATAAAAAGAGACTATACACATTGACTGTTACAATATAATTTAAGAATTCTGATGTAATGTGCAATACGGATCTCTAATTTAATCTAGGAAATAATATGGTCAAAGTTGACACTCCAATGTAATATGTGTATTTGAAGTGGTTTCTAATGTTTGCCCCCATGTGGACCACAGGGGTTGTAGTTCATATTGTAATCTGAATTTTCCACGTGTCCAGTGGTAAGGCACAGCAAGAACAATATACAGTATTGACCATTAAGCACAGTGCTTGACTTACAGTAACTGGAAAATGTGTCATGAGTTTTCAAAGTATTATATATAACAGTTTGTGAGTCACCAGAGTGCCATGGAGCAGCCAAAATGTAATACAGTATATACAGTACAGTAGTTAAACCTAAATCTAAATCAAGGAACCTTATGCTAAAATTGTACAATGAACCTCATTAAAATATTGCGTAATATTTTGGACATGTCTTATGACCACAACATACAGTATATTCCTATATCTTACAGAGTCTGCTATTCTTAGCTCCTAATTTTATGAGAATGTCCTACATTTTCCTTTTTCTTGTGTATCACATCTCATATAAGACCTTTGACATCATAGTATTTTTCCTGAGACTTCATCTTTAACATGTCAATTAACTGAATCAGCAAAAATAGATTGTCTACATTTTTACATAAAAGTGAGAGGAAAAGAAATGCAGAGGTATTACTCTATAGATGAAAAAAAAGCAAATCAAATGTCCTTTTAATACTGTAGGTCTGTCTCTGGAATGGTTAGGTCACTCTGTTGGCTGTACAAATGTGACACTTCCACATTGGAGGATTTTTACAGTGTGCCGTCCAGAGTTGATGCCTTCAAGTCAATTGAATCTACAGGAGGCTGATATCTTAGAGATTGATTTCAGGAATGGGAGAATACATCAGTGTTTGCTAGGAGCTCTGTTTTATCTTAGATAACAAACACAGACATGAACAAAAAGAGGCGACATTAAGAAATGTAGTGTTATTATTTAAGAACAGAAGAACGGTTACCAAGAAGAGGAGGCCATTCAGCCCATCTAGCCCATTTGAACATAGCTAATTGATCCAAGTATCTCATCCAATTATTTCTTGAAAGAAGTCACCGTATCAGTTTCAGCAACCTGGTGGGATTACTTGTTCTCATACTCCCAGGGAATCTGGGAAAAAGATTAGCTCCTGTTCTCAATTTTAAATGCACTTTTCACTTGCCCTGTCTCTGGGTAGATTAAATCCAGTGCACCATAGTCATACGGTGTTTATACAGGATTTTCCTCCATTGACGAATTTATCAGGAAAAACAAACACCTAATTTCATAGGTGTGTGTGCATCAAATTAGAATTTGAAGAAAGAAATCACAAGAAATCACAAGAAATTGTGATGATTTGCCATCATTTTATACAGTAATTATGTTATGGCAACATAGTACGGTGAGATGACAAAAACAAGGTACTGCAGTTCAACCAACATTGTCTATGAAGGTACTATTCATGTATGTGTGAGACACTTGAAAAGCACTACAATTACCCTACAACAGTATACTCCGGAGACAGCACGGTCTTTTGCCATTTATATGATGAATTCTGCAGCAACCAAAACTGTATGACAGAGGAGGCTGGAAACCAAAGCAGTCAACCCCTTTAAAGGCAACGTAGTTTTAGAGAAAACTATTTCAGGCTGATTAAGCTAAGAACAGCAATCCCTTTTCAAATGTGTCAGAAGCTGCGCTTAACCAAACCATGACTCCTGAACTCAACCACTGAACCCGGGGAATTCCAGCCAACATATTAATGATCTTACATAGCTTCTACATAAATAATATTATCCAGAGAATATGCCATCTTTCTACATGCCACTGCATTGAGTAGTAGATGATTTGAAATGGCCCTGAGAACCCCTTAGAATGATTACTGAGAAAGCACTTTATAATTCACCCGGGATGGTATAATTTGGAATGTTATATTCATACTTTACCTTAGTTTGATGTGAAAATAGATGAGAAGAAGTATTTGACCTTTCTGGAGGCAGACATTGCAGACAGAATTTCAAATTGAAATTCTACTGAAGGGGTTCTGATTTGTAAGTGGTGTTTCATCTGTCCTGAGGTTTACTCAAACTGCTTTGACATTGTGCTCAGCATGAAAATGTGTTCAGTGAGGGAAAGACTGATGGATTTCTTGGTTTCTTTTTTCAAACATGCAAAATAAGGAGGGGGTGGGGTTCTTAGAAGTGTAACTTTCTTTTCTTCTCAGCCTTTGAAGCTGAA